CCACTCCCCCTGCTTGTGTTCCCTCTCTCGCTGTGTCTCTCTCTGTCAAATAAATAAATAAAAACTTTAAAAAAAATGACTGAATATGAAAATACAACATACCAAAATTTAAGGGATGCAGTGAAAATAGTGTTCAGAGGGAAAATTTTTTAAGATTTTGTTTATTTATTTGAGAGAGAGAGAGAGAGAGCAGGCTCCCTGCTCAGGGATGTGGGGCTTGATCCCAGGACCCTGAGATCATGACCTGAGCCGAAGGCAGGCGCTTAACCGACTGAGCCACCCAGGAGCCCCCAGAGGGAAATTTATAGCTATAAATGCCTACATTAAAAAAGAAGAAGGATCTCAAATCAACTGGAAACCTTAAAGAATTATAAAGGAAGAACAAACTAGGAGAAGGAAGTAAATAATAGCAAATAGAATGAGGATAAATGATATAGAGAGTAGAATAACAATAAAGAAATCAATGAAACCAAAAGTTGGTTCTTTGAAAAAAAATCAACAAAATTGACAAACCTTTAGCTAGACTGACAAAGGAAAAAAAAAAGGATAGCAGACAATAAATTAAATCAGAGATGAAACTGGGAAGGGGTGCCTGCGTGTCTCAGTTGGTTAAGCAACCAACTCCTGGTTTTGGTTCAGGTCATGATCTCAGGGTTGTGAGATCGAGCCCCACACTGGGCTCCATGCTGAGCTTAGAGTCTGCTTGAGATTCTCTCCCTCTCCCTCCCCATCTGCCCCTCCCACTGCTCACATGAGCTCTCTTTCTCTCTCTCTCTCAAAAAAGAAAGCAAAAGAAAAGAAAAGAAATGAAACTGGGGAAATTACTACTGACTTTAAGGACAGAAAAAGAATTATAAGAGAATCCTGTGAACAATTGTATGTTAACAAATTAGATAACCTAGAAGAAATGGACAATTTCCCTGAAACGCACAAATAACCTAAATTGACTCCAGAGGAAATAGCAGATCTCAACAAACCTAAGACAAGTAAAGAGATTGAATCAGTAATCAAAACCTACCAATAAACAGGGACAGCTGACTGGCTCAGTTGGTAGAGCAAGAGCATGTAACTCTTAATCTCAGGGTCTTGAGTTCAAGCCCCATGTTAGGCATGGAGCATACTTAAAATTAAAAAAACAAAAACAAAACAAAAAAATCAAACCTACCAATAAACAAAACTTCTGAACCAGATGGCTTTGCAAATGAATTCTACCTTGTGTGTGTGTGTGTGTGTGTGTGTGAGTAAACCGATAGAAGTTTATTAAGTGAAGATACAGAAAAAGCTCTCAAGAGTGAGAGGGGTCCCGACAGGGTTGCCTCTACCAAACATTTAAAAAAGAGTTAACACCAATCCTTCTCAAACTCTTCCCAAAAATTGAAGCAGGGGAGGGGGGGCAGTGCCTGGGTGGCTCAGTCATTAAGCGTCTGCCTTCTCTCTCTATCAAATAAATAAACAAAATCTTAAGAAAAACTGAAGAGGGGGGATCAATTCCTAATTCATTCTATGAGGCCAGCATTATTCTGATACCAAAGCCAAATAAAGGTATCACAAAAAAGAAAATCACAGACCAAAATCCCTTATGAATATACAGGCAAAAATCACCAACAGAATATTAGTATATAAAACCCAACAGCGTTTAAAGGATTATTAACCATGAGTGAGTGGGAATATCCCTGAAATGAAAGCATGGTTCAACACAAGAAAATCAATCAATATAATACATCACATTAATATAATGAAAGGAAAAACTACATGATCATCTGATACTCCTCATGATAAAAATACTCAACAAAGGGCACTTGGGTAGCTTAGTCAGTTAAGCATCCAACTCTTGATTTAGGCTCAGGTCATGATCTTGGGGTTGTGGGATCGAGCCCCATGTCAGGCTCCATCTTAGCAGAGTCTTCTTCTCTCCCTCTCCCTTTGCCCCTGCCTCTGCCCCCATGCACTGTCTCTCTCTCTCTTTCTCTTACAAATAAATAAATATTTTTAAAAGATTTTATTTATTTATTTCAGAGAGAGAGAGTACAAGCAGGGGGGAAGGGGCAGAGGAAGAGGGAGAAGCAGGCTCCCCACTGATCAGGGAGCCCGATGTAGGGTTCGATCCCAGGACCCTGGGATCATGACTGCAGCTGAAGGCAGATGCTTAACCACTGAGCCACCCAGGCACCCCAATAAATAAATCTTTTAAAAAATACTCAACAAACTAGGAATAGAAGAAACTACCTCAATATAATAAAAGCCACACAATAACTCACAGCTAACTTCATACTTATGGTAAAAGACTAAAAGCTTTTTCTCTAAAATCAAAACAATACGAAGATGTGAGCTTTCAACATTTCTATTCAACATCAATTTTCTGGTCTCTGGCCAGAGAAATTAAGCAAGAAAAAGAAATAAAAAGGCATCCAAATTGAAAAGGAAGAAATAAAATTATTTTCTGTTTGTACACGGCATTATCTTACAAGTGCAAGACCCTAAAGATCGTACAAAATACTGTTAAAACCAATAAGCAAATTGAGTAAAGTTGCAGGATACAAAATCAACAAACAAAAATCAATCGCATATTTATACACTAAAAATGAATGATTCAGAAAGAAAATTAAGGAAACAATTCCACCTGGGTGCCTGGGTGGCTCAGTTGGTTAAGCGACTGCCTTCGGCTCAGGTCATGATCCTGAAGTCCCTGGATCGAGTCCCGCATCGGGCTCCCTGCTCGGCGGGGAGTCTGCTTCGTCCTCTGACCCTATCCCCTCTCATGTGTTCTCTCTCTCTCCTTCTCTCTCTCTCAAATAAATAAATAAAATCTTTAAAAAAAAAAAAAAAGAACTCTAAAAAAAAAAAAAAGGAAACAATTCCACCTATAATAGTATCAAAAATATGAAATATTTAGGAAAATCTTAAGTAAGGAGACCAAAGGTTTGTGTGCTGAAAACTATGAAGCACTGCTGAAAGTAAAGAAGACACAAATAAATGTAAAGACATCCCAAGTTTGTGGTCTGGAAGACAATATTGTGAAGATGTCAATGCTACCCAAAATGATATATAGATCCAATGCAATCCCTACCAAAATTCCAATGATGTCTTTTGCGGAAATAGATAAATCCATCCTAGAATTCACAGGGGATTCCAAGGTACCTCAACTACTCAAACCAACCTTGAAAAAGAAAAAAAAAATTGTAGGACTCATGCATCCTGATTTTAAAACTTACTACAAAGCTACAGTAATCAAAACAACATAGACACATACTGGCATACAGACAGACATAGCAGCTGCTTCTAAGTCTTTGTCAGACATTTCCAACTTCTATGCCATGTCAGTGTTGATATCTATGGATTCCTCTTGCCAGGCAAATTGAGATTTTCCTAGCTCTCTTTGGGCTGAGTGATACATGTTCATTGTTACAAAATCACTGGATTGTATCCTGGACATTTTGATTATGTCATGGGACTCGGTGTTCTGTCTAAATCCTATGAGAATGTTGTTATTCTTGTTTAAATAGGCAATTGACTTGGTTGAGTTCGGGCTGCAAGTTTTATCCAGTTTTCTGTGGGTTGTGAATTGGTATCGGTTCCATTTACAAAGTCTTTGCAGTGCTATTCAGCTCTGTCCTCCAGATGCACCATCCAGTGGCCAGTCTGGAACCTGGGTGGTGTCTGCCCTAGTTTAGTTTTCAAAATCTGTGGTGTGCTGTTTAGAGTCAGACCCACAGAGTATTAACCCACAGTGGTTAATAAACCACTTTGCAATCTTCCCAGTCCTTTCCAGTTCCTTGGGGTTGGTTCCCTTTTGTGGTCCTCTGGCCAGAAAGGAATGGCTTTATTTCCCCCATTTTGCCACATTCTCCCATGACTGGACCCATATCTGGAGCCAAGGGGTGGGGGGCAGGGTGGGGGAGAGAGATTAAGGCTCTCCCTCTTGGGAATCACAGCCCCTCTGATCAGAGATGAAGATTCTCCTCACTCAGAATTTAGGCTCCCGAAGGTCCCTTGCTGTCACTGCTCCTGCTGCTGCCACCATCAACTCAAAATTGCCTAGGGGGTGAGAAAAGAAAGGCCAGAAAAAAAGACAAAAAGAAAAATGGTATCTTCCCATATTTCTCTCCATGTTTAGAGTGCCCTTTCCCACTCCTCTAGCTCCTGGAGCTCTCCGTTTGTGCTGTGTGCATTTCCAGATTTCAGACTGTGTTGAGTCTAGACTAGGGGATACTTGAGGGGGAAAAGGAGGAAATTCACTACTGGTCCAGTAATACTTCGAATTCTGGCATTCTTCCCCAATGTGCCCATTATGGTTTATTTTTTCTCTCCAGGTTTTATATCTGCATTCAGTGGGAGAGACAGGGTGGAGTGTGCTGATTCCATCTCATCTGGAACATTTCATTTTGTAGGATGTCCTCAACACAGGGATGCGTTATGACTTTGGTAGGTCCTAGACACTTTTGCATTTGTGGGCTCCTTCCTCTATAAAAGAAAAATAAAATACATTTCATATCGCTTTGGTACAAAGATGAATATAATCCAGGCTGGATTCATTACTATTAACATTCATTTATTTCTTCTGATTTCAAAATAAATTAAGACTAAAGTATTTTTGTGGGTCTCTAAAAATATCATGGATAAATTGGTGCCGTCTCAGTCTGGGTCTGTTCAATGTTTCCTTGAGACTAGACCCAGAACGTGTCAGAGTACTGCTGAAATGATACTGTGTTATTCTCAGCATATCAAGATGACTTGATCATCATGGGAACCTCGACTGGACATAGGAACCTTGGTTCCATTGTCAAATTGCTGCCTGCTGGACATTTTCTCCTTTGTGCCGGATAAGTTTTGTGGGGAGATATCTGAGACTTTGCCAATTCTCCAGTTGTCTCTATTTGCCTAATAAACTACCCTCAAATTTACTGCCATTACAAAAACCATTTTATTGTGCTTCTGGATTCTGTGGATCAGGAATTCAGACAAAGCACAGGTCTGCCTTGTCTCTGCTCCTCCATGATCTGGGGCCTCAGCTGAAATGACTTAAACTACCGGAAGTGTCTTAAATGGCTGGTGGCTGGAGGATCCACTTCCAAGATGGCACCCAGGCTGGGGGGTGCTGACAGATAGGCTCGGTGGGGATTCTTGTCACCAACATGTGGTTTCTTGTTGTGGCTTGGGCTTTTTACAGCATGACTGTGTGGTTCTGAGAGTTCACAAGAACACCAGAAAGAGGTTCCAGGGGACGAGGGCAGAAGTTGCAGGGTTCTCCTGGTCTGGCCTTAGAATTCACAGTGTCATTCCTGCCATGTTCTTTTGGTTACCGGTGAATCTCTATGCTCCGCCCAGATTCAAGGAGAGGGAAACTATTCACCTTGTGATAGGGGTGTGCCAAAGAGCATGTGGAGTGGGGAGATTTTGTTGACACCAATTTTGGTTTTGGAAAATACAGTCTGTATTTTGCAGTATTCTGTTCCTCATCAAATCTTCACCTACCAGCCTTAGACCATCCATGAAGTCTCCGGCCTGAATCAATCAATAACTGTGATGGTTTCTCTATTTCCATCACTCCCTCTATTTTTATTGGTTGGCTTTGTACTGTAAGGAAGAGGTTTCCCTTCTCCTTAAACAATATGACTCATGGATTTCTAAGTTACAATGTGTTGTAGTTGGTTATCATCATTTTTATTTTGATGCTCTAATTGCCCCAGACTTGGTCGGTGGGAGCCCCTTTATGTCCTTTTGGCATCTCATTATTATTCTTTTATTTTTTAATTTTTTTTTAAAGATTTTATTTATTTATTTGACAGAGAGACACACAGCGAGAGAGGGAACACAAGCAGGGGGAGTGAGAGAGGGAGAAGCAGGCTTCCCGCCAAGCAGGGAGCCCGATGCGGGGCTCGATCCCAGGACCCTGGGATCATGACCTGAGCCGAAGGCAGACGCTTAATGACTGAGCCACCCAGGCACCCCTTATTCTCTTATTTTTATTTATTTTTTAAAAGTAGGCTCCATACCAAGCATGGAGCCCAACGTGGGACTTGAACTCACAACCCTGATATCAAGACCTGAGCTGAGATCAAGAGTTGGACACTTAACCGGCTGAGCATCCAGGTGCCCTGTCACTATAATTCTCTGAATGCTTTCTTATTTTCCAGGTGCCCCACTGACATTGGAATCAGCCTTTTCTTCAAGAAGACCTAATTCCTTTTGGTGAAGGATGATGTTTAGAAACCAGGATCTGGGTGTTCTGATGTGCTTGTTGCTAATGGGATGACAGTGTTTCTCGGCCCTCTCAGGGGGCAGTGCCAGGGGAAAAGTGCACACATACAAACATATGTGTATGTATATACACACACCTATACAAACACACATATATACATATACATACACATATACAAATATATTTGTATAATATATAATTTATATAATTATAATATATGTTGTATGTATGTGTGTATATATATATACATATATATATGTATACACATACATACAATACCTACACACACATACTATATACATATATATATATATACACATACATACAATACCTACACACACATACAATTCACCCTGGCAGCTCCAATTCCTCAGGCCTGCCCCCTTTCCACATTTGTAATTCTCCTCCAGTAATGAGAAAAACCTGGCTCCCATTATCCTCAATAGATTTGCTCAATCCCCTGTGTGTAACTGATTTTCCAACCATACCAGCTGCCCTCTTGGCTTCCAGCCATGTTGCCATCTCCAAGGGAAAGGAAGGGAGAGGGAGGGAGGAGAGGGGAGAGGAGGAGGGTTTCAAGCACTTGGCAAGCTCGCCCTCCACTCCATCCCTACTTCCCCTGCTTCAGTAGGTCTCTGTGGCTAGGGGCCCTCGGCTCTCTCTGCCTCAGCCTCTTTTTCAGCCCCTTCACTCCTTCTGGCTCCTGAGAGAGTTTCTTTCTTTCCATTTTATGGTTTTTTTATTTTTTAAATATTTTATTTATTTATTTGACAGGGAGAGACACAGCGAGACAGGGAGCACAAGCAGGGGGAGTGGGAGAGGGAGAAGCAGGCTTCCCGCCGAGCGGGGAGCCCGATGCGGGGCTCGATCCCAGGACTCCAGGATCATGACCTGAGCCGAAGGCAGACGCTTAACGACTGAGCCACCCAGGCGCCCCTTTATAATTTTTTTTTTTAATTACAAAAACATTTCATGCTCATCTTTACGAATTCAAATAATGCAAAGCATGTAAAGTGAGGCATGAAAGTGTATAGCTGCCCCCCGGACTCCACTTCCAAGAGAGAACCAGAATTCTTTCCTGGGCTTCTAAGAGCACTCATGTATGTTTATACAATTTTAAATATTCATAGGCTAGTTTGATATATTTTCATTGCTTGTTTTCTGGGTCTGAGCATAACACATCTGCCACAATCTTAAACAGACACATGGGAATCCATTAAAAGAATGTATAGTAATTTATCCTTTGACCTACAGACTGTTTTTAAAGGTAACTTTCACTGGTGCCGGATGCCCTTCATAACCACTGTCCCCCCCACCCCACCCCAGAACCCTGTTCAGCATCGGCAGGCGGGTTTTTGCCCGGATTTGGTTAGGGAAGGCGGGCAGGGATTTGGAAGGGGAAGGAGAGTGAGTTGTGGGTGCTTACTACCTCGCTTCTCCGCAGGGTTGCACCCGGCCGGCCATGACCCTCACAGCTCCTGCAGGGGGCGCTCTCCATACAGCTCCTCCTCGCATCCCTCCAGGCCCGGGGAGGGCTACAGCCACTGCCCGGTACTTTGTGGTTTCCCTCCACCTTTCCCACACTTGAGTAAATAGTCCCTTTATCAAACTCAGATTAGCTTATTTGCATGTGCGGGACGGTTGCACATGGGGACAGCACAGCATGGTCTCAGGGACCGTTTGCCAAGCGCTCACACACACCATGGCAGGCAGTTCCACCCACCGAGGGCTCGCTAAAATGTGCATGCAATTACTGCCCCGCCCCCACCCCGAGAGACAATCCCGGGCTTGTTATTGCTGAAGAATAGAGAACAAAAACCCTCGGGGGCAGCACCGGAGGCCCCTGGTCCGCCGGGCGTCTGCACATACCACACCCTCTGCTCCCGCCACACGGGGGGAGCAGGTCCCGGAGACGTCAGATCTCAGTAAAGCATGTTTGAGGCTAATTGCCAGCACACAAAGAATTCTAACAGGTTTCTTCTATTCTGACTCAGCCACATGGACAGCCACGCAGCGCGGGCTCGGTCTCTAAGGCGCGCGGGCACACACACGCACCGCACAGCTCTCTGGCAGCCCCTGCCACAGCAGGTGGGGAAACTCAGTCCCGACCGTCTGGGAGAAGGCGGCCTGGGTTCTGCTGCATACTGGCCATGACCTTGAGTTGGCTGCCTCCCTGCTGCCGGGAGCCTCTCCCCAGGGATCACGAAGACCATCAGGGCCACGGTTATGAATGAATGAGGCCGGCACAGCCTCTCAAGCCCAGGGCGCTCAGCAAGTGCTAACTCCCTCCCAAGCTCCTCAGGGGCTCACTCGGATTCCCTCTGTCTCTCCTGGCCCCGGGGTCATCTCTCCACACAGACCATGGTCTAACCACCATTGTACCCTGGGCTGCTGGCCCACTGAATGTTGCTGACCACCGCCCCTGTGGCCACCTTATAGCTCCATGCACAGCCCTACTGGAGCACTTCCCTCCCTGGGAGGGCCTTCCCTCTCAGCTTTCTGGATTCTCCCAACCACACTACCCCAGGAGAGCCCAAAGTCTGGCCTGAGCCTTTTTTTTTTTTTTTAAAGATTTTACTTACTTATTTGACAGAGAAAGAGAGAGAGCGAGTGAACACAAACAGGGGGAGCAGGAGAGGGAGAAGCAGGCTCCCCACTGAGCAGGGGCTTGATGCTGGGATCATAAGCTGAGAGGAAGGCAGAGGCTTAACCGACTGAGCCACCCAGGCGCCCCAGAGCCTTTTTACTTTTTATCAAGGTGTGCACCCAGAAGAAGGGGCCTCTGTCCCCAGATTCTGCACTCTGAAGTCTGAGTGGACTCAGCAAGCAAGCACTTGTGAAGGAATGAACTGTTTTGGTGTCCTGAAATAACATTAAAGTTTTTTCCCCCTTCTGATCTTAAAAGTACAACTACTTACCAAATTTTTGGAAAATACAAAAATAGTAATGCAAAACCAAAATAGAAATCCAACCACCCAGAGGTAATTGTGACTCCAATTGTGGTAATTCCTTTAGGTCTTTATTTTTCTTTTTAAGATTTTATTTATTCATTTGACAGAGAGAGAGAGAGGGAGAGCACATTCAGGGGGAGCGGCAGGCAGAGGAGAGGGAGAAGCAGGGTCCTAGGATCAAGACCTGAGCTGAAGGCAGACGCTTAACTGACTGAGCCACCCAGGCGCCCCTTCCTTTGGGAAGTAAGCTCTACACCCTACAGGGGGCTTGAACTCAACTCACTCTACACCCTACGGGGGGCTTGAACTCAACTCACAACCCCAAGATCAAGAGTGGCATGTTCTACTGACTGAGCCAGCCAGGCACCCCTCCTTTGAGCCTTTTCTATGTGTCTGTAGGCTATATATATATATATTTCTCTGTATATTTGTACATTTATGTATATAATTAGCACATGCTTTCATATGCTTTGTGTTTTGCTTTTGTCATTTAACATTTTTCTCCTAATTTTAATTTTTCTGATTATTTAAATTTCCTGTTTTCCTATGTAAGCCTTCTAAAATTCAGGAACAGCAGTTCAAAGGCTGAGTAAGATTCCACCCTATGACTCTGAAAAACTGAGGGTTCTAGAGGGGAGGGGGGTGGGAGGATGGGTTAGCCTGGTGGTGGGCATTGAGGAGGGCACATTCTGCATGGAGCACTGGGTGTTATGCACAAACAATGAGTCATGGAACACTACATCTAAAACTAATGATGTAATGTATGGGGATTAACATAAGAATAAAAAAAAAGATTCCACCCTATGAGCAACTCCAGCTGGTGGAGATCTAGGCTGTGTTCCATCATTGGCTACAGTAGCAGCGCGCTGGTAATTATGTTACTCATTGTCCTCACCTCTTGTGATACAGTTAGGCACTCAGACATGGGAGTGTTTGCATCTTGTTCCAGTTCAGTCATTAATAGGGCCCTCGCTCACTGTCAGAGGTATCACCTTGTGGGAAATAGATTACATGGACCTCCCTCGGAGGACTCAGAGGCACCACAGGGAAGAAGGGGTTGGCAGGGTGGGGGGAGGCAGATGGAGGTGGTTCCTGGGTTATGTTGTGGGCACCTGGTTGGAGGATGGTGATGCCAATCCCTAAGATGTGGTGGAGCTTGCAGGGGGTGTGATGAGGTTTGGATAGGTTGAGTCAGAAGTGTCCAGGAGACTTTCCAGGACATTCTCGAGGGGCAGCTGGAGACCCATTCCTCGCCCAGCAGAGGTCACTCGGTGTGGGTGGGGGGTGGACTTTGCTTTCCATGGATTGCTCAGCAGCTCGGTGGAAGGAAGAAGCCATCCCAAGCACTTCGCCAACACCTGTGTTAGGGCATCAGTGAGTGGGGGAGGGGGAGGAGATGGGACACTGACGTTGCCGCAATTTATCATGACCTTCCCCTAAGCTTATCACACACAGGTCTCAGATGGTCAACACTGAAATACAGCATTGTTATAACCTGTACCTCAGTCCAAAAAAAGGGGCTGTCTCAGCTGGAGCTCTAGCTTGGCCGGCTTTACTTTCCAACCTCGAACCTCTGCCTCTGTAACTCAGTGGCCCATCAGCGGGGAATCAATGACGGCCCCCTCCCCTCCCTGACAGAGGAAAGATCTGATGCCCAGAGAGAAGAGCGACCCCTCAAGGTCGGGTCTGGGGGATGCACCCTAGAATTCCACGGCTTCCACATCTAAATTAATCCTCGCTGCAACCCTGGGAGGGGGCTGTCATCATCCCCATTTGCAGATGAGAAAGCAGAGGCTCAGAGAGGTGATGTCCCTTGGTTTCACTCCTGGGTATACACCCCAGAGAAACTCGCATGCACGTACTAGGAGACCCAGCAGGGATGTTCAGAGCAGCTCCATCTCTGCAAACGGCCAGAGACCCACACCGCATGGATGAATCGGAGAAACAGAATGCTGAGTGACAAAAATGGGAAGAATGCACACAGCCAAGTCCCATTTTCATTAAAAAGACAAGCAAAAAGAATAGTGTTGTGGTGGGCGCCTGGCTGGCTCGGTCAGTGGCACGTGTGACTCTTGATCTCGGGGTTGTGAGTTGGAGCCCCACATTGGGTGTAGAGATTATTTCAAAATAAAATCATGGAGCGCCTGGGTGGCTCAGTCAGTTAAGCAGCCGACTCTTGATTTCAGCTCAGGTCATGATCTCAGGGTTGTGAGATCGAGCCCCACATTGGGCTCCACACTTAGCAGGGAGTCTGAGATTCTCTCCCTCTGCTCCTCCCCCAGCTTCTGTGCTCTCACTCTCTAAAGTTAAGTAAATAAATCCTTAAAAAAATAAAATCTTGGGCGCCTCGGTGGCTCAGTTGTTAAGCGTCTGCCTTTGGCTCAGGTCATGGTCCCAGGGTCCTGGGATCGAGTCCCGCATCGGGCTCCCTGCTCAGCGGGAAGCCTGCTTCTCCCTCTCCCACTCCCCCTGCTGTGTTCCCTCTCTTGCTGTCTCTCTCTCTGTCGAAAAATAAAATCTAAAAAGAAAAAAATAATAAAAAAATAATAAAAATATCTTAAAAAAAAAATCCTTTATAAAGATGACGCAGAGAGGTAGGCCCTCAAAGGCCCACGTGGAGCTTCGACATTGTTGGCCAGACCCTCTTGAGTTTGGTCGATGGGTCTGTAATTATTCTGCGTTATATCTAGGACATCGATTCTCGAGCTGTTTAGGTTGAATACTGTGTATTTTGACCAGGGAAGAACCCACCTGGGCGTGCTGCGCTGTCAGGATCAGGCATGGAGAGACGGGTGGTTTGAGTGGCAGCTTCCTGATGGGAGGCCTCTGTTCCCCGAGAACATAATGCTGCAAAACAGACAGCAAATGGGGCACGTGGCAGTCTGTGTACATATAGCTCTAACTCTACGATTTATAGCTTTTGTATTTTATGTTTCATCGTCAGTGACTTTATATTGTTTTCGTCTCTCTGGGCAAAAAGGTGCCTTTCATTTCAAGAGGTTTTCCTTTTTTTAAAAAAAAAAAGCTTATTTAATTATTAGGAAGAGAGAGAGAGTGCACGCGCACGAGCTGGGGGAAAGGGGCAGAGGGAGAGGGACAAGCAAGGGAGAGGGACAAGCAGACTCCCCACTAAGCGGGGAGCCCAACTTGACTCGGGAGCTCGATCCCAGGACCCTGAGATCATGACCTGAGCTGAAGACAGATGCTTAATGGACTGAGCCGCCCCGGCGCCCCTCAAGAGGTTTTCCTTTTTAAGCTGCAGTTCTAAACACTTACCTTGGTTATTTTGTTCTACACCCGAAATCAAATCTTGTTCGTCCTCTTCTCTTTTTTCCAAGTTTTGTCATGTTGTTCTATTACTTTTATAATTTCAGGAAGGAGCAGCGAGGGGGAGAAAAAAAGGGGGGAGGAGGGGCAGGACGCCACAGCCATAATGACTGAGGGGCCTGCCTGGGATGGGCAGCGGGGCCACCGAGGCCCCCTGCGCTGTGGCCAGAGCTGGTACCTGCCCAGGACCCTCTACCCGGGTTGGAGCAACCCCAGGGCTGCTCTGAGGAGGTTGTGCCCACTGCTTGGCCTTGGGCACTCAGATGTCTGGAACTCCACTGGCCCAAGTCCCCAGAAGCAGACCCCAGATGAAATGTGGCTTTGTGTGTGGGCCTGAGGCCTTGTCATTGACTGGTTCAGAACCTTGTTCTGCCCCAGACCAGCCGGCCAACAATGGGAGCACCACGCAGGACCAGAGGGAAGTAGCTAGGCATTCTGGGACCCTCTGAGAGGAACTCTGGGGGCAAGGTAGTCATCAGCCCTCCCAGCTTGCTTCCAGTCTCTGTCTCCCTGGCTCTGTTGACTGTTGACCTTGCTTCCCCAGGCTGAGCGCCACCCGCCCCCCACCGCCGGGGCATAAGACCCAGTCCTGACCACCCTGCTCTCACCCTTCCTGAAGGCAAGGGTGAGACTTGGCTTCTGCGTGCAGGTCTGTCTCCCTGCTGGCAGAGAGCCTGATATCCCCAGCCCCCACCTGCCATCACGATGGGCTGGTCTGGCAGGTGAGTGACACCCAGCTGCCCCAGAAACCACTCAGTCCCTGCCTGCCTGGTGCCTGGTCCCTCAGGCCTCCCCCAACTCTCGCTCCCCAATGGCCCCAGAGAGGATGCTCTCTGGGGCTCGAAGCTCAGTGACGGGGGGGGGGGGGGCAGTGTGGAGCCACCATCTGGCTGTAGCAATGAGATTCACACGAGGCAATTCGTTTGTGAACAATCAAGACAGCATATACTTAAGAACGAGATTCTGCTGGGCAGATTCTGCGGGGAGCCACCAAGGAGGCGGAGAGGACCGGGCAGGGGGAAGACAGATGGGTGAGTAGGCGGGGCTGGGGGGGTGGTGTTCGGGGCCTGGTTGGGAGCCCCAGCCCCCTCTCGGTGACATGTTGGAGACAGATAAAGCTGCCTCCCTTGCAATGAGGCCTGGAGTGGGAGGGGCACAGAAAGCTCTCAGGGTGATTTGAGAAGGGACTAGAAGCTGGTCTGGCAAGGCCCAAACGTGGGCAAAGGCTTGGCATCCAGGGCAGGGCTCAGGGGGGAGGGGGCAGGGACGCAGCAATCTGGCTAGCTGGCCCCAACTAACCCAAAACACAGGTGCCTCCCTTACATTTTGGGGAGTTCGGGCAGCATTCTGGGGCCATGGCTCAGCAGTGCCTGCATGGAGGCATTCTGGATGTTTTCCCGTTTCCCTGGAGTCTGAGTTCAGCCAGGAGCACAAGAGCCCCTGGCAGCTGCTGGCCTGCCCTCTCCCATCTGAGTGTTTTGCTGGGAGGGTCCCCATCCTGTGTCTCTGGGCCACTCCAGGCTGCCCCAGGCTCCCATGTTGTGAGGTGCCCCCCCCCCCGGGGCCTCACCCCTCTCCTGTCAGCCCCTGCACAGGCTCACAGTGGCCCACGCCCTCATGCTGCAGGGACAGTTGTGGGCTTGGAGCCCAGAGAAGAAAACCAGGCCGGACTGGCTGGCCAGAAGGCAACGCAATCTCCTAAATTAGTCTGCTGCTTTTGCCTTTGCAGATGGCCCCCCTCAGCGCCCTGGCAGCTTCTAAACGCACCCTGGACACTCAGGGGTACCAGGTGCTCAGGGGTGAGAGAAGGCAGGACTCAGGCGACAGGGTTTCAGAACTCATGATTTATTGACACTTATTGACCCCTGGGAGGAGACTGAGTTTCTGGCCCCCTCATCCGGGCACTCATCCCTACAGACAGGGAAAATGGCCATCCCATCTCGGGACAAGACGCCTCTCCCAGGAGCCCTGCCAAGACATGCACAGATGAACCCTTGGCAAGGCTAGCATGGCGCATGAATGGCAAAGCTCGGCGCATTTGGCAAAGCTGCAGAGCCTCGGCGAAAAGCACAGGCCTCCTGGGGCTGCCTCCCTTGGGCGACAGGCAGAATCAAACCCAAACCAGCTTATCTTGCACAGGCCCAGCAGGTTTCCATTGAGCCCTTGTCAGGGTCAGGCCTAGGAACCGGCGGAGCTGTACCCCAGGACCCGGGAATACTGCTGAGGTAGCCGGGCCATCCGTAAGGGGACACAGGAAGGGTTGAGGGCCGCATGCTGGCTGGGGAGAGTAGGGGGAGAGAGGGCTGCGGCCAAAGGCTGGCCCGGGACCTCACAGAGCTTGTGCATCTCCAGTGGGGCCTGCCCCCGTCACTGTTCCCCCTAAAGCACATCCCTTTCCTCGTCCTGGGTGCTGAGGGCAAGCGAGGTCAGGGAGAGCCCAGCTATACCCTGCCCCTCTCCATGCCCTTCCGCCTCACACCTGTGGAGGGAGGGAGCCGACCCTGTCTGCTTCTCCCACCCCTGCTAGCTCGCAATCAGCTCTACCTGTAAAAGCAGGGCCTGCTCTCTGAGCTTCTGTGTTCCATATAAGGCCCAACCCCAGCATCTGCAGCTCCATTCTTTCCCAGCCCACTTAACTGTAAGAATAGATGGGTAATAATACTTCATCACCCCTCCCTGCTAGCAGCCAGGGAGGGCTCCCCCAGCACGGGCAGCAGCTCCCTGGGACACGCCAGGCTTGCCTCAGGAAGCCCTTGACCCTCCAGAATCACAGCTTTGGTGCAACCCTGTGCCCTAGAGAGGAGAAACTGAGGCCCAGGGAGGCTCCATGACTTACTCAGCTCATACAACGAGCTAGTGGCAAAGCGAGGATTTGAGAAGGGGATTGGGGCTTCCAGATCTGGGGCCCTCGTGGGACCGTGGCCCGGAGAGGAGAGGGGCCAGCGCTTTCAGAGGCTGAAGACGCCCGGTGGCTCCCAGTCCAGCCCCAGTCAAGAGGGAAGAGGCCTCTATGCCTAGGTGCTTGCACAGAGCTGGCGTCTGTGCAGGAGGAAGAAGGGCTCCCTCAGCCCCCAGGCAAGGATGAGCCGCACCAGACAGCAGAAGCCTCTGCCAGAGGGGGGTGGTCACTGGGACAAGCCTGGAGAGATCTCCTTATGGAGCCTCGAGCGAGGGCGCGAATCAGACCACCACACAGAGAGAGCCAGGCTCCATGTGTGAAGCCCCACTCTTGGTGGCAATCACAGGATCCGACTGGCAAATAAAGGAGGACAACAGAAGTCCACGCTTCCGCCCTCTGCTAAGGTCATGCCCGGGGGCAGCCAGGCCGCTGGTGAAGGGCAGGCCCACATGCTGCCTCTGACCAGCCCTGCGCTGGGAAGGGCCGAAGAGGGGGCTTCAGACCCCCAGAAAGCAGCGGGGCCTTCAGATTAAGTGGGAAAATTCTAGGTCACTGTTGGCTCCCACCAAACCTCTGAATTGCAGTGACCATGTTTAAGATGCCTTCAATCTTGAGCTTTGGGGCATGGCATCGGCCGCATCATGTGGGCTCCCTCATCCCTGCTGTGGGAGTGAGCAGTAAAGGCTAAGCCTGTGGGGGGCATCTCCCACTGCCTCCCTCTCTTCCTGCTGCAGGGTCCGGGGAGGGGGGACGCCTAGGCTCCCCTCCGTGCACTGGGATCAGGGTCCTCCCTGCACTCTCCTTGCTGGGGCCTGGCCACTGCGGGTGGATTCTGAGTACCTTCATAAGACCTCCCAGCCTGGGGGAGCTGGTGCCAAGCATCCCCCTGCTGCCCACCTCCCAGCGACATTCTCCAGAAGCCTCAGCTAAGCCACCCACTGCCGTTCCCAGATCTGTAGGCCTGGGTCCTCCCACCAGAGACCCCTCTCTCTGGGCCCTTGACCTCTGCCTGGACTCTTCACCCAGCCCTGTCACTTCCAACTGGACACCAACGCCATATTTGCCTCACTGGATGTGAGCAGCCCGAGTCACCCAAGTTTCGTGGCTCCCAAGCCTCACCTGCCCAGAGCATGCTAGGGAATGGAGAGCTCTCCCCCATGTGGTCAGGCTGTGGGCAGAGCAAGATGGCAGAGGGTGCAGCTGTGGCAGGCGGGAGACAGGAGGAGGGGTTTTGGGGGCTGTGGGGCAGGTGGGCGGGATAGGCTCCAAACAGAGCCCAACGCCCCCAGGCTGCCCCCGGACTTGCCGGGGCCTCTAAGCGTATTTCCCAATGAAACCAATTTGGTTACTAACACAAGACATTCTAGGACATTCCAGTCAAACGAGGAGTCCGCTTCATGGAGCTCAGTCCCTCAGCCTGGGCACCAGCCAGAGACATGAGCAGTAGGGCCCAGGTGTGGAGGGAGGCTGGTGGGGCCGAGGTCACCCTGATCTCCCGGAGCCCCGCGGTCTGGCCCAGGCCGCACAGCACAGCCTATGTTCTTCGGGGCTGCTCTGCTGTCAGCAGCGAATGGAATCACAAGATACGGAAAGAACTCATCCGGGAAGAATTCTAGCCAAGATCATGCCACTATAACAAAATAAATCCTGCTTCTGTAAAAATGGAAACATGCCTGTTAGAATCCGTCCAGGCCCAGAGGTTCTAGCCTTACCTAAAGCTGTTTAAGGCACTTGAATGGCTTATTAACACCACCTGGAAAAGTTTTTGTTTCAATCCTGATTTAGAGAAAAAAAAATTCAGTAATACTGCAAAAGAAGTTTCTTCTAAAAAAAAAAATCAATACTTAAGTTTTCTAAGAATAAAATAAACGCTAAGCTCTGCTTAAGTTATATGACACAACAGGTCAACTTGGCACTGACAAAACAAAGACAAAAACCTGAAATACTGCTTCTGAGTTAGACTTCCCTGGGGAAAAAAAAAAAGACCACAAACAAAAGACACACGTGTCATCATTCTGACCTTCCCCTCCCTGGGTGTGTGCGGGCTGGGAGGGAACCAGGGAGGCTGGGGACCGCCGAGCACCCACCGCAGACCAGATCCCTGGTGCTCCCTCCTTCCCAACGGGGCCGTTCTCCCCACTCCGGGAAGCCGGCTTGGTAGGCCAGGACCAGCCAGGCGCATCTGTACAGATGAGTCCTCCCAGCCGTGGCCAGTGAGGAGGCAATGAGAAACCTGGGCCGGACACCCAGGACACACCTGGAGATGTCCATGGCCCCTGGGTCTGTCCGGGGTCTCACATGCAGTGCCCTGCTGCCCCAGGCGCAAGCCCAGCGTCTTTGGTCTGGCTGCGGCCCGCGCCTGTGGCCTCTGGTCCTGCCCCCTACCCAGCCGAGCCTGGAGAAGAGCTAATCCACTTCCCAGGTCATCTCTTTGGTGAGGTCTCCTCCCTAGGCCTCCTTTGGAGATCCGGGCCATCTCACTGCCTGCAGGAGCAGGGCATAAATAACCCCCCGCCCCCCCAGGGCAGTTCTGCAGCCACCAGGATGGACTGATGCAAGGAGCACAAGGGACTCGGGGCCCTGGGAAAACACTGTGAGGGGGACACCCGCCCGCCCACCGCCGCCGCTGCTGCTGGTCTGGTCCTAAGGCATCCGAGGGGGATGGGCCTGGGGTGGGGGCAGGGGGCCTGCACCTCCTAGCTTCTCTGTGGAGTATTGGTCTCTGGCTCTGAGAGGCCAGAGGGCACATCCCCTGCCCCCTGGGTCCCGCCCGTCAGTAGGTCTCGGGGGTCCCTGAGGAAGACCACCATGACCGTGATGTTGTCGTGGGAGCCCCGCTCCCGGGCTGCAGCCACCAGCTCCTCAGCCACCTGCAGCCCGCTGCCCTGCTGCCTGACCAGGTGGCTCTGGACAAGGCCAGCGACCTCCTGGTGGGGGACGACGTCGAAGAAGCCATCACAGGCCAGCAGCAGGTAGTCCTCAGAGCCCGTCAGCTCCCGAGAGGCCGAGTCCGCCTCCCCCGACACGTAGGGCTTCTGGAACACGTCCCCTGCACGCGGGAGAGAAAGGCCTCACGTCAGAGGGCCGGGCTGCCTGTTGCCAAGGGCCACCTGCCAGGCCCGGGCCTCACCACGGCCACTCCCCTCCGGCACCCATGCTCACCGGTGAAATTTGGTAATTTCACGCAGTGCTAAGGGCTATGAAGAAAACAAGAGAGGGCGACGTGGCCGACTTATTCTGGTGTCCCAGAGGGCCGAGTTAGGGCCCAGCCAGGCAAGAGGTCAGCTCGACAAACAGCCTCTTCACTGCCAGTGGAGCGGGGCCCAGAGTCGGAGAGGGGGGATAGCTGAGGCGGAGGACCTCACTTTTCCTTCCTTATGCTCAGGTCTGCAGGTTCCCTTCCCCTCAGGACCCTCTCTGTGGGACCCCACATCCAATCCGCTAGCCAGTCCTGTTGACTTTACTTTCAAAGTGCAACTGGAACCCACCGCCCCCTCCTCATACCTTGCCGCTTCCTGACACGGACGTGCCCGGGGTGTCCCCCTCTGTGGAAGGAGTCTCTGCTTGGAGAGCCCCCCCCCGGCCACCTCCCCACTGCAGTGTGTCCAGAGACACAAGGGCAGTGGCGGCGGCAGGAAGAAGGGCTCTAAGGCCCGCGTGTGCCGGGAGGTTAGGAGGGACAGATGCCACATTGCGGGGCTCAGCAGGAACAGAGTGGTGTCTAAGTACCTGGGGGTAGAGGTGTGGCTGCCGAGGCCCAGCCTGAGGCCCAGCAGCAGCAGGATGCTGACAAAATAGGATTGTGCAAGAATAGGAGTCTTCCTTTTTTTTTTTTTTAGATGGAGAAAAGAATCAGCATGAATGGGGGGAGGATAATCGATAATCTTCATTTATGGAATATTTGAAAATGACCTTCCAGCACAGATAGTAGCTATCCAAGGGTCTCCTAGTAGGTTTTTTCTGGGGAACTGTTTTAACGAGGAGATAATTGCATACAACTTAAACTGGGATTATTCGTGTGAGATGGAAGTCTCTGAGGTGTTTGCACGTGGGCTATCTAAATTCACCAGAGGTCCTTCACAGTCTGATTACACGGCCCCACAGACCACAGGTGCTTTATCAGCGCAGGACGCTGCTGTCCCCAACAGCTGGGTGACCCTCGGGCTGCAGACAAGAGGCCTTGGTCTCCTGCCCCTTGCCTCCTTACCAATGGCTCTGGACACGGCCAGGGTCCCGTTGACTCTCCAGCAGTCCATGTGAGACACGAAGCCGCCCAGTGCCTCGATGCGCTCCTTCTCGTCCTGTGGGGGACAGCCAGAGTGGGGGCTGGGGCAGGGTGCCTGGCGAGGCTGCGCGAGCGGAGATGCATTGATTTCTGACACCGAGCTGTGACCACAGCCCGGGAACGACACCCAGAGGAGGCATTAGGAGAACTGCGAGAAACCATGAAGAAGCTGCACATCCTCCTCCGAATGCAGGAAGGCCCACCTCAGACCAGCTGTGGCCACCGAAGCCCTGCTGCCTCACCTTTCACTCTGGGATACTGTCCCCTCCTTGCAAGCCGCTGGGGCGAGAGCAAGCCTGTGCTGTGTGTGGCCACCTGGCAGGCCTGGATGAAACCTCAACCAGGCCCTGTCCTTTCTCAAAGTCTCCCTGCTCCCCCTCCTCCCAGAAGTGAAAGCAGCACGCCATGTTGGGCCCCAGGGTACCAGCTTCCTCAGCTGGGAGCTTCCCATGCCCCACGGGACAGTGTCTGCTGGATAGGCCAGTCCCCTCTCTCTGGGACCACGGATGTGGACCCTTCCACCTGGAGACGGTCTCTGTGCACATCCCACTGCAGGGCGGGAGGGAGGGGGGACACCGTACCAAAGGCTGGGCCACCCATGCAGTTCCCTGCAGAGGTGGTGGCAGTGGGACTCGGAAGGTTTGCAGCAGCCCTGACCTGTCTGCACGGCTCCCTCTGGGCCTGAGAAGCCACCGTGGTGTTGAGCAGTGCCAGAAAAAGGCAAAAAGGATCGTGAATGTGGGCAGGGAAGGAGGAGGAAGGAATGCGCAGGTGGAGGGGAGAGAGAGACTCAGAGGGTCTGGGGAGAGGCAGGCAGATATGCAGGCTGGCTGGCTGTGCTCTTTGCCATGGTGCCACATGGCAGGGCTCCGGGAAAGGCTGCCCGGAAAAGTCCCTGCTGGGCCACAGAGGTGGCGCGGGACAGCAAGCTTGTGGGGACGCGGGTGGGCAGGAACCTAGAGGCTCGCATCTAGTCCTGGGGTAGGACGGTCCACCAGGGAGCAGATGCCAAATGGCCTGGTGGTGCAGTGACGGTGGAGGGACCCAGGACAGCTGCCATTTCTCAGCTGTGTGCTCTGGGCTAGTTACTTGACCTCTCTGAGCCTCAGTCCTCTCCTCTGTACGACAGGGAGAGCTTATGTAGGAGGTGAGGCCAAGGAATGCTGTCCCTCCCGGCTGTTGTGATCACTGCCTGACACTCCCTGCAGTGCTTTCCAAATCCAGAAACCACGAAAGGACAGCTCCACTCAGTTACCTGAAAACCAAAGTGTCTACAAGGCAAAAGCCCATAAACATAGACAAAGCGGCAGGCTATTTGCAAATCGCCCTGCAGACAAGGAGCTGACCTACAAATTGATAAGGACAATAGCAGGAGACCAATGAGCCAAGGACAAGAAGGAAGGGCTCTCCAAAAAAAAAAAAAAAAAAAAGAAGGAAGGGCTCTCCAGAAAGGCAATGTAAATGATCTTCAGTGGTTGAGAAGATGCTCACCCTCAATCCGTAATGGCTAACACCCCAAGCTTCAGGGGACCCCTCGCCCCCAACCCCAGCCACTCGAGTCACAAGGGCCCTCCCTCTGAGGAACACCAGGAGCTCCCTAGGAAGGTGGTCCAGGGCTCCTCTTACTTCGTTGCCCACCTGACCGTCCGCCATCCTGCGCGGTGCAGCGTGATGGGGGCTGGGATGTCCCAGGCACAGAGGGAGGGGGCCCTTACTTGTCGCTCAGGTCTGTGAGGTTCCATCAGCTTCACCACCTGTCCCTGCTGCACCAGGATGACCTGGGAGTCCCCGAGCCAGGCGACGTGCAGGGTCTTTCCCGCAATGAGCGCGCACACCCCCGTGGTGCCACTCTGCAGCCGCTGCAGGGAAAGAGGGACGCCCGTCCAGGCTGACCGACTCCTGGAACAGGGCTCAGCCAGGTAAAAGGAACGGACTGCTGAAGCACACACAAGCACACCAGGAGTCTCCTGAGGGTTCCGCTGCATGACAGGAGAGCACAGCCCGTGGAGTCCCATTTGCACACAACTCTAGAAAGCACGAACTCTATCATCTGTAACGTCAGAAAGCAGACGAGTGTGTGTCCGGGGAGCACGTGGGCAGGAGGGTGGGGTAACGAAGGATGGCAGATATGTCCGTTACTGTGGTGAGGGTTACACAGCTGTAGACAAATGTCAAAACCTATCCAACTGCACACTTTACATGTTATTGAACCAACTATACATTGTATGCTTGTAATACATGTGATCTGTTATGTGTCGATTATATGTTAATAAAGCTAGCTTAAAATAATAATAACCTAATTTGAACACCTGCTTCAGAGAACTGTTACTCTGGGAGGAGGCCCGGGGGCTGAGGCATGTCAGTTTTTCACCGGGCTCCCATGTGACAGTTCTAGATGCTATACGGTTTTCCATTAAGATGCAAGGTCTGGCTTTGCTGATTTCCGCTGGGGTCTGTGCTCAGAGTGTCTGATGACACTGTACCCCCTTCCAGGTCTCCCGATGAGCCATGTCAACTGGGGCAGGTCCGTTAAGCTCTCTGGGCCTCAGTTTCCCGATGTCTAAAATGGACACAATTGGGCGCCTGGGTGGCTCAGTTGGTTAAGCGACTGCTTTCGGCTCAGGTCATGATCCTGGAGTCCCAGGATCGAGTCCCGCATCGGGCTCCCTGCTCAGCAGGGAGTCTGCTTCTCCCTCTCCCGCTCCCCCCTCTTGTGCTCTCTCTCTCTCTAAAATAAATAAATAAAAATTAAAAAAAAATAAATAAAAAAAATAAATAAATAAAATGGACACAATTTTAGTAGCTACCTGGCAGGGCTGCTGGGAGGGCCCCACGGAAGTTCTGCAGGTAAGGTTCAGTGGGTGGGAAGTTCACAGAGGAGGGGTTGGATGCGTTCTTTCAGAAACAAGTGCCCGATCCCTACAGGGCTACTATTCCCGAGGAAAGAACACACCCAGCAGGCACCAGCAGCCTGCCAAGACCCTGCCTGGGTGAGCAAGGGGAGAGGGGGCCGTGTATTAATCATGGGTTTTATTTTCAATATTTTCTTCTTTTTAAAAAAAACATTTTTTTAAGATTTTTAAAATTTTTAAGTAATCTCTACACACAACATGGGGCTCACTCACAACCCCGAGATCAAGAGTCCCATGCGCTTCCGTTGGAGCCAGTCAGGCGCCCCTATTTTCGGATGCTCTGACAAACTGGGGTACTTGCTAATGGTGGAGAGAATGCCCCTCCCAGGACGGCTGGTCCCTAAAGATAGCAAATGTCTCCCCCAGGCGCACAAACTTCTTGCATGAGCGAGCTGGTCTGAACCCGTGATCTCAGCCACATCCTCTGTCTCTCCCGCCAGGCTCTTTCCCCTGGCCTGGATGGCTGGGGGCAGCCCCGGTAGCCCAGAGCCCAACCAGGTTATTCAAACTATCCAATCCTCCACTTGCCCTGACGTGCCTGCCCCACCTCACCCTGCCTTGCCCAGGCCTCGGTGAGGCCACCTGAAGGCCCCGCCATATGGTGCTCCCTCCCTCTGCCTCCGGACCAACCCTGGGGCCTCCTCTCAGGCACTGGAAGTAATCAAACTCCCCTTTCAAGGTGGCTTCTGTGCCTGTCATCCTGCCATATCTGAGCAAAACAGAATCCTTGGTGCATTTTACAACAGGCTGCCTTCCCTGGGAAGCCTGCACCCCCACCAGAGTGGGGCAGGTCCATGCTGCTGCGGGGCCAGGGAAGCTTCACGCTCCTTTATTCAAATGAAAAACCAGCCTCCCTGTACCGTAAGAATGAAGTCACATGATGGCCAGCAGAGTTTAGTGGGGACCTTCTGACACCACCAAGTGCTCTGATTTCTCTCCCTCGGCCGGGGCCGGGCCTCTCTGATGTGACAGCTGTTGGCCCACACACTGCACGCAAGGCCCATTCACCGGTTCTCACCTCTCGCTTGGCTTTCCAGAGAAACATCTCATCGGTGCGCTGGAAGGCTTCTCTGAGGGCTCTGGCGGGGTCTGTGGGCAGCTCGGGCCGGCGGGCAACGTTGGTGTGCACGTGCACGGCGGCGTACCGTGCGGCATCCACCCCTCCGTGACCATCAAACACGGCGAAGTAGGCTCGGTCCACAGGGTCCTGGAGGGGAGTGCAGCGGGAGTCACACCGACCTGGCCCTGACCCACGCTGTCACCTAGCCGGAGGCTCTCATCTGGGGCTGGAGCCCAGGCGCGCACTGGGGTAGGTCTGAGAGAATCAGCACGGCCTTGGCCATCAGGTAGGTCATCCTGACTCAAGCACTTAGGAGCGGCAAGACTTGGAAAAGGAAAGGACAAGCCTCCAGAGCCTCGGTTCACCTTCTGTTATGAGTTGCTGGAGTATAAAGTGAGGGAAGATACCAGGTGGCTCCTGGTGCCTGAGACAAAGCAGGACTCAGCAACTGTGAGTCTGGGGCAAACGTGACTCCTGGGGCCTCCCCTTCTAACAGGCTCAGGCAGATCATTCCCTTCCCTCAGTCCCTCAGCTGGGAAAGCAAAGTGGCCCAGAAGTGCTGGGTCAATGACTCGGTCCTCTGAGCCTCCCTGTGATGTGCTTGGCCTTGCCCCCTTCAGAGTACAGCTACGGGCATCACTCCCGCCTCAGCTCTGGCTGGCAGCTCTGCTCGGAAGCCCGGGGGGCCCCCACCCACGCCCTTCACAAGGCCTCTGTGGCTGTTCTGACTGGGGCCCGGGAGGAGGAGCACTGCAGGTGGAGCACTCACGGACAGGCCGAAGAGCTGGTTGAAGGTGGGAAGGCACACGTGCCGGTCCTCCATCTTGCGGCGCGTATTCCGGATGGCGTGCATGGAGACCAGCCACTGCCGCTGAGGAAGCCGGGCGATCAAGGGCCCCTGCTTCTGCCACTGGCTGCATACTTCCCAGAGCCGGTTAAAGAAACTCCGCGCCAGGCCCTTGGCATCCAGCACTGATGCGCATGACAGAGAACTGTTAGGGCAGCAGCAGGGCTCCACTCCAGCTGCCTGCCCCCCTTCCCCGGGGCCCCTGCAGCTCTCCAACAGCGCCCCCCAAAGCCTGCCCAGGCCCCACCAACCCATCAGCCCCAGGGGCATTCTGAGCCCCCCAGCCCGGTAAACTATGCGTGACAGCCTGTGTCACGGGCACCGAGCGATGTCTGCTTGGGCAATATGCACAGGAAGGAGCCTCCCATCCCACAGTGAGCAACTCCACTCATGGGAGCCCACCCCCAAGGAAAGAGCCAGAAACTCAAAGATAATTTCAGGACAAAGTATAAAATCATTTATAATTGCACATTAATTCGAAGTAATCGGTATCCAGTGACAGAGTAAATTATGGTCTATTCTCTTGATGAAGAATTAAGCTGCTATTAAACATGATTTTCACAACTAAACACACAATCGCCACACTGCCCAGCAACTGCACCCCTGGGCATTTATCCCAGAGAAATTAAGACGGCACGTGCACAAAACCCTGCGTGCCCCAGGGTTCACAGCAGCTTCACCTGTAATAGGCAAAAACTGGAAATGGCCCAGATGTTTTTCAACCCGCGAGCGGGTAAACTTCGGTATATCATGCCACGGAATACTACTCGCGGAAGGAAGGAAGGAAGGAAGGAAGGAGCAAGTGAGCTCCTGGCGCATTAGAGAAACCCAGATGAATCTCCCTAGAGTGATGTGGAGTGAAAAAAGCCTATCCCCAAAAGTTACATACTCTATGATCCCATTTCTAGGCATTCTTGAAATGACAGAATTATAGAAATAGAGAAGATTAACGGTTGTCAGGGTTAGGGACAGGAGCATGGGGCATTAGGGTGACCACAAAGGATAACATGAGGGATCCCTGTAGGATGAAACTGTTCTATATCTTGACTATGTCAAGATCCTGGTCGTGATAGTTTACTATAGTTTTTTAAGACATTACCGTTGGGGGAACTGGGTAAAGGATACATAGAATTCCTCTGTGTTATTTCTTGCAACAGCATGAGAGCCTACAGTTATCTCAAAGCTTAATGGAAAAAAATTAAAGGGTAAAACAAAAACGGGCTTCTAAAGAGTGCGTGAGCATGTAAAATGCTATGTCACAATATTAAGGAAAAAACATTAAGGAAAAAAATGTCACTAAAAAAGGAGAACAGAAAATCCCACACACAGTTTGATCATGAGGACCTGAAAAGGCCTTCAACTGCTTGGACCAGAAAATTAAAGGCAGGAAAAGCATACAATCAAAATGTCAGAAGTGGGTGTCTGCAGGTGGGGCTCCACGGGTGATGTTTTTTCTTAAGAATACTTTTTTGGTGTTTTCTCAATTTTCCATCACAACTGTTAGCCCCAGGTGATGGTTTCAAAATATGTCCATTATTCTTTGATGCCTGATTGGGAGCCCAGTTCCCTCCCCTTGAGCATGGGCCTTAGGGACCTGCTCCTAATAAACAGAATCGACTGGAAGTGACCATTTGCTGCTTCCTAAGAGGCACTGCGGCTCCCACCTGGCACACTCTCTCTCCCTCCCTGTCTGTCTCTGTCTCTCTCTCTCTCCGTCTCCTGGTGAGTCACTGGCCCCGAGGGAAGCAGCTGCCACGGTGTGAGGACACCCAAGCGGCCCCGTGGAGGGTCCACATGGGGAGGGACTGAGGCCTCCTGCTAACAGCCAAGTGACCGAACCCCTTGAAAATGGAACCTCCGCCCCACTGGCCACAAGCTCAGGACCACGATCCCATGAGAGGCCCTGGGACAGAACCACCAGCTCAGCAGCTCCCAAATTCCAGACCCACAGAAACTATGGGATAATAAATGTTCATTTTAACCCACTAAATTTCAGGAGGAATTTGTTACACGACAATAGGTAACAGCCCCTACAACACACCCCCCCCCCCCCCCACGTCCCGCACGCGCCAAGTACTCCATGCAGAATGTGCCCTCCTCAATACCCACCACCAGGCTAACCCCTCCCCCCCCCCCCCCCCCCTCCAAATCCTACCTAAACCTGCCTTCTAAAGAAAAGCTAACCAAGGAACTAACAATGGACAGGTCCCAAGGAATTCTCGGGTGGTGTGCCTCAGAGGCTCAGGCCATTTCCACACACAAAACCCTCCTGGGACTCTTGCTGACCAGGGTGCATGAAGCTGGCACAGGTGAGTCAGGGCCCGTCGCCTCGGAGGGGTGTTCAAGGGCAGACTCTGAGGAGAGTCGCGGGCCACACTTGAAGGACTTGGCGGGGGGTATTGGAGAAGGAAGAGCTCCTGCCCAAAGGTGAAGGCCGCAGAAGAAAAAGAGAAGGGCAGAGGCCAGGGAAGGCAGAGAGGGTCTGTGAGCATGAGAGGCCATGGAAGACATGTCGAGGGATTCCACACGTGAAGGCGAGGTGTGTGTGTCTAGAATTGGCCACCGCCAGCACACCCAGGACACAGGCGCCATGCAGGTGTTTGGCAAGAAGTGGGAGACCAGCTGGGCTGGCCTGAGGGGCTGTGGGTACAGGAAGGCTTAGCTCCGGGAAGACAGGTCCACACGAGCTTGGCCCAGTGCATCCCCTGCCAACAAGTCAGAGACCCCTTGTTCAGCTGGACGGCACAGCGCTGCCTCCCTAGCCTCCTCTCCGCTGTAGACGGCTGTGCTCAGAAGACCATCTGGGCCGCTGGGCTCCTTCCCTCTCCCTCTGGGCTCTGCTTTTTTTTTTAAGATTTTATTTATTTATTTGTCAGAGAGAGAGAGCGAGCGAGCGAGCACAAGCAGGGGGCACGGCAGGCAGAGGGAGAAGCGGGCTCCCTGCCGAGCAAGGAGCCTGATTCGGGGCTCGATCCCAGGACCCCAGGATCACGACCTGAGCTGAAGGCAGAGGCTTAACCGACTGAGCCACCCAGGCGCCCTGGGCTCTGCTTTTATTAGGCCTGAGACGCCCAGGGAGGCACAGGGTGCCGCGTACTCTCTTGCCTTAGGTTGTGCTACCATTTCCGTCAACACGTTTGAACCTGAATTTCGGCTTGAGCAAAAGCAATTACCACTGACAATGATAAGCAATGGATAAGCAACGGGAGAATCGGCCGCTCACTGACTCCTGATGCCGCCAGCAGGAGACGCCTGCTTTCCAGGCTGAGGGCCTCACCCTGGCGCCCACAGGTCCAGCCTACTGGAGAGGAGCCAGCTGGTGCTTCCCCATGACCCAGCCACAGAGAGGTCTTAGTCATATCTCTGTCCTTGAGCAGTGGTGCTTTTATCACCTGCCGGGAAGCCAATTTTGCAAGAAGGGCTTCGAGATGATAGACTTTACTATGTTCTGCTCCAGTGACAGGGACAGCTGATCAAGGCTGCGAGCCCAGGCCTGCACGGCAGGCGGGGGCAGGCTGTGATTTCCTCCCCCCTTCCCTGGCCTGCAGGCGCCCCCAGGGGCAGGGTTTGGCGGGCGTCAGCCACCGCCCGGGGCCTTCCCGCCAGCAGGTGGCGCTGGTTTCCCGCCGGGACTCTGGGGCAGCGCGCTCCCTTTGTGGGGCTCTGAGGAGGACAATAGCTGCCTGTCACTGTGGGCCACTGTCTCCCGCACCTCCCAGGCAGGAATGCGAGGCCGTGCTGGAATGGAATGTGGGCAGGGAGCCACGGAAAAGGCCGGGGACACGGACGAGAACTCAGCATGTGCTGAAGTGAGGGGCTGCGTGGGTCTGTCTCCCAGCCCGCCCCCACCCCGTTCCTTGCTTTGCCCTCACCGCTCGCTCTCGTGCTAAGCTTAAAGGAACATAGATAACAAATATGGGACAAGATAGGGGCGCCTGGGTGGCTCAGTTGGTTAAGCGACTGCCTTCGGCTCAGGTCATGATCCTGGAGTCCCTGGATCGAGTCCAGCATC